AGATTCTCACCAAATGCCCAGATAAGCAAATTTGTAAAGTAGTTAAGATTTGTATGGCTTCTGAGTTAGTGTGTTTAGGCAGGAGGAAGTTGGTTGTAGGATGGAATGTGCATATTCTATAATGACAGGAGAAGACTTCATGGAAAATATGAACTTCATTTTGTTACTAGAGAACAAGTAATATTATTGATCTCTGGGCATTGAGGAGGGCTTTTAAGTGTATATGTCCAAAGAGGAGTGAAAAGATTAAGATTTGACTGACTAAGACTTGAAGAATTATATTAGGAAATCATTAAAATTAAAGGTTGGGAAGTTTAATTGCCAGTGTTTGAATGAATTGGGATAAAATCAGTGATTTAAGACAAGTTAATAGAAGTTTCTGGGAATTTTCATGACTAAGAAAGATGAGTAGAAGGACTTTAACAGTTGGAAAGAAATGGGTGTGAAATCTAAAGTAGGGGTTGATCAAGGTAGAACTATGTGTGGATGCCAATATGTCCAGAAATGGAAAGTTGGTGGTCAAAAATATAGATATTGTTACCAAGGATAATAATAGCAAGGCAACTGGGTGGCTCAGTTGGTTAAGCGTCTGCCTTCGGCTCAGGTCATGATCTCAGGGTCCTGGGATCAAGCCCCATGTTCGGGTCCCTGCTCAGCGGGACCCTCTTCCACTCCCCCTGCTTGTGCTTGCTCTCTCTCTCTCAAATAAATACATACAATCTTTTAAAAAATGATAATAGCATTTTAGAGTACTTTCTATGTACCAGTGACTATGTGTTTTATGGGTATTTTAATTCCTTTAATCCTTATAATCACTATATTTTCAATTTACCAATAAGGAAACTAAGCCCAGAGATGTTAAATTGCCTTAATCATAGTTAGGAAGTGGTAGAGTAAGGATTCAAACCCAAGTGCTGTGACTCCAGAATCTGTGCTACATTTCTCTCAATTATACTACATTTCTCTTAATAGGAAATCCTATTTAAATTTCAAAGAAAAACAATAGAGGGTTGTAAGAAAAAATGTGAGCCAAATGATAAAACATCTAGGAAGGTAAAAGTGAATCCTAAAGGAGATTGCAAGATGAAGGGTGATTAAAAGTGTGTGATATAAATGGATGGATGATACTAACTTCACCTTTAGGACAGCTATGAGAAGACACAGGGGACCAAGAACCAGTTTCTTTACCTCTCCTCCAAGTTGGGAGTGAGAGACAATAAAGCCTGTAAAGAAGTCACCCAGGAAAACTGGGTTTCTCTTGGTATGAGACAGAAGAGAGAAGAGGCAGAAAAAGAAAGAAAAGAAAAGGAAAGAGAAACCACTCAGGAAGTGAGTGTTTGGGGGTGGGAAGAGATGACCTCTCTTAACCTAAGAAAATGAATTAGCCAAAAAGCAACTGGTTGAATAGCCCATTGCATTCCTTTACTAAGACTTGGAATGAACCAGGAAGTGGTCAGGAATTGCCTTAATACCTTTCAAGGAGATGAAGTCATAATGACCCAACAAGTTCTAAAAATGCAGGCCATGACTTTGTAGTAAGACGGAAAAGATCATTTCTCATTGGCTTTTCTGTGTATGTACTGTGACTAGCGTGGTGCTAGGAATATACTAGATATTCAGTAAATTTGTTCTAAATCATCCTAACTAATGATGCCAAACTCTTATTCTTTGGATGCTTTTTACTGTGACAGCATTTGTAGTGAATAAATTTGATGGAATATGGGTGGGGAAATAGTGTAATACAGTGAAACCTTATTTAGAAGACACTAAGTAAGTATTGATGGATTTGTAATTATACTATATTATTAGCCTCATTTTTATTCTAGGTATATTGAAGTATAATTGACAAATAAAATTGTGAGATATTTAAAGTGTACAACATGATGATTTGATATATATGGTGAAAGGATTCTCCTATCAAGTTAATTAACACATCCATCCCCTCACTTATTTATCTTTTTTCTTTTTGGCAAGAATATTTAAGTTTTATTCTCTTAGCAAATTTCAGTCATATAATACAATGTTCTCAACTAGTCACCATGTTATATATTATATCCTCAGACCTATTCATCTTAAAAGTTTGTACACTTTTACTAACCTCCCCTTATTTCCGCTATTTCCCAGCCCCTGGTGACCATTTTTCTACTCTTTCTATGAATTTGATTTTTTTTATTCCATGTGTAAATGATACCATGTGGTATTTGTCTTTCTCTGTCTGGTTTATGTCATGCATAATGTC